GGCATGGGACGGAACACGCGGTTTCAGCCAGTACTGAAGGGGCCGCATGCGAAGCAGGCCCAACTGAAGTACTGGAGACGCAGAGGCCATAAGGCCCAGCATCTTTTTAAACGCCTTGGAGAGGCTCCAGAGGCTCCAATTTTGAATGAGGCCGCTAGCTGCTGAATGGCCAGTGCACGTTCTGGCACGCTCATTTAGGTCATTTAGGCTGAGTCGAGAGCTGTTCCCGAGAACGATATCTGTTGGCTGGGGGACAGCGCACTCTTGGCAAAATTGACCCAGAGTCCCAGGCATTCTAATTGGCTGAGGAGGAAGGATCTGTGAAAATCTAGCTTGTCCTCCGACTGGGCCAGAATGAGCCAGCCGTCGAGGTAATTCAGAATGCGGATTCCCATCTGTCTCAGTGGGGAAAGAGCCACATCCATGCACTTCGTAAAAGTGCGAGGAGCTACGGACAGTCCAAAGGGAAGGACCGTGTATTGATAAGCCACTCCCTCGAAGGTGTATCTCTGAGGAGAGAGTGAGGCATGCGGGGGCTCCTCTAATAGAGAAATCGCCGGATGGCGGCAGGGGACCGGAAGACCGCCTCCTAATTTTAAAATAAATTAACTAAAATGAGCTCCTATATTTTTGTTATTTTTAGCTCCTAATTTCAGTTATGGCTTTTCTTCACCTGTTTTTTTTTTTCTGACCCTGCTGACCCAATGAGCATTTTGCTGTCCAATGGTCATGCCTTAACTTTGCAATTGCTGTATTGCATTAGTTTTGAATATTTCTAATGGGGATTTTATAATTTTTGACTTTTCATTCCGAGTTAAATCTCTTTTTTTGGCTCATTTTATCTGTAAAAGAAATGTGCCTAATAATTCTGCACACCTGAATATTAGGAGTTTTTCACTTCCAGCCTTCATGGACAATTATATATATCACTTATACATGATTATAAATACAAAATGAATAGTAGTTATTAAGACTGATGTGGTTTGGGATTGGTAAAATGTGCTTGGAAAAAAAAAAATTATCAGAATATCAACGTGCCAAATAATTATGCACGCACTGTTAGCATGCAATGCAGTACAAGGATGATTGAGAGATGAACAAATAAATATTCCTCAAAAGCCTGATGATCATATTTGGTCCTCAGATTTTTAACATGATTTTTCTAAAAAAATATTTATGGATAATCAAGTAAACCTAAGTTGCTTCTGTTCAGTAAGTGTTCATCTTGAAATATTAAAAATGTATAAGTTATTCTTACATTTACTTTATAAAAGTCTACAAAAATCAAGGGGTTAAAAGTGTACTACGATCGAAAGGTGTTTTTATTTTTATTTTTACAATGATACTAAAAGGCCTTTTACTTCACTAAAACTAAAATATTGAATATGATATGAATATTGTGTATCAAATATGACACTGTAAGTTCTGCAATACTTTTTGGGGCCTTTGTATTAATTTTCAAACCTTTCCTACAAAGTGTTACACATTGCATGCAAGTGTACTCATGGTTAAAAATAACATGGATTTTTGTCTTTCAGATACTCCAAACAGCCGGACCTATTCTTCCCGTCCCAGCCCTCAGAGTATGTATTTTGGAAATCCGGTTGTTGTTTTTTTTGTTTTTTTTGTTTTCTTTTTTTTCATTTTCACTTGATATCACTCTTCTCATGTTCCATATAGTCCATATTTTTATTTATTTTTGTAAATCATGACTGACTTCACTCGTGCCCATTTTTGTGCCATTTGCATGGCTTTCAAACCTTGCAGGTTTGTTAAAACCTTTAAGTAAAAACCTTTTGCCTGAATACCTGACGCTGACCTAAATTTGTTAGCTGTATGTAGTGCTCTTATGTGAGGCTAGCCGGTTACGCTCTGTTATGAGAACATTGCTATGTTCTGAGAGAAACTGGACGTTGTGTTCCAGAAACCTACACGTGTGGAGCCTGTGGAATTCAGTTCCAGTTCTACAACAACCTCCTGGAGCACATGCAGTCCCATGCTGGTGAGTGAGCCCAGAAAATGAAAACATTTTCAGCTGTGAGCTCATCCAAATTTGGACTCACTCTGTTTTGTTTACATTATTTCTTTGCATCACCACTTGGGTAACTGTTTTATGCAAAGGGCACATTTTTACAGACTGCATTATGTGAGCACTGCATAATATATCGAGTTTGTTTTCATCATGTGCTTTTTGCTCTGTCTGATCAGTAAACTTAACATCTTTACTCGTGCATGGAATCTGCACCTGCACAGTTCCATAAAACCTCAAAACTCAATCATATTGCCATTTATTGTCATTTATTTGTTCAATTTCCCACTCCCAGCATACCTGGGAGTCATTGATTACTCACCCTCATGTCGTTCCAAACCCGTAAGACCTTCGTTCATCTTCGGAACACAAATTAAGATATTTTTGATTAAATCCGAGAGCTCTCAGACCCTCCATAGACAGCAACACAACAGCAATGTTCCCAGGTCCAGAAACGTAGCAAGGACATCGGTAAAATGGTCCATGTGACATCAGGGATTCAACCGTAATTTTATGAAGCTACGAGAATACTTTTTGTGCGCAAAGAAAACAAAAATAACGTCTTTAAGCGCGTGCGTCGTGGTACTCTCCACATTAGCAATGCACTGCTGCAGACGGGATGAGGAGAAGAATTGTTGAATAAAGTCATTATTTTTGTTTTCTTTGCGCACAAAAAGTAAAAAAAGGTAAAATTATTGATCATTGGGAACTCTATATGATGTATAATGGGTAATTTTAGAATGCGCAGGTCAATTTCACAGATTTTCTGTCAAAATCATCTCAGAAAATCTGAAAATTGTTCATTCTGCATGTACCTTGATCATTTTCATTTGTTTTCACCCCTCAGTGTGTTTATCTTGTTGTTTTTCAGTTAATACCAATGCTTTTCCCAAGAATGAGTACATAATGTGTTCTTTCTTCCTTCTGTTTTAATCCTCTTTTAGCTGATAATGAGAACCATGTTAAAGATGAGTCTCCGAAGCCATGCCAAGCGCCTGTAGCCACACAGGAGCAGATGTGGAAATCTCCTCAGCCGGCACAACAGAGGAACCACATACCATCTTTTCGTGAGTTCTTTCTTACAAGCACTACCAGAATCCATTCAAACTCATTTCACAACACACTTGATTAAGTTTATTATTTGCTTGGGCCAACAAAGTAAAGCTAGTAAAGCTAACCAGTTTCTATGTTTCTTGACTGCTGTTGTTATTAACTTGGTTATGGTCGCTCAATTTTCAGTAAATGTTCAGTTCACGTTAAAGTTAACATTTGTTACAAAGTAAATTAATGTGGGTGTCCTTGCTGATATGCTATGTTTATTTGGGAATCAAGGAAGTCTCCGATTAATCCACAATGCACACTCCTCAAGTTTTATTTACAGATTTATAAGAGGCAAAAGTGCCATACGTGTCCTCTCTAAGAAGTTAGTGTCACTCTTGTATGTGCCCCAGAAATTTTAACTGCATTTTTTGTTTTGATGGGTTGCAGCTGTTGCTGTTGCTTATGGATGTTTTGTAACAGCTAACTTGTAGAGATAACAAAGCTTAATTCTTTGTCTCATTCTGCTTTTGCAGAGAACAGATTACTTCCAGAAAAGGAGAGACAACAAGTAGCTGAACGTTTACTGAGAGTAATGTGCGTAGACCTTGGCCTTCTTGGCGTCCTCAGCAGCAAAGACTTCCTGAAGCTTGCACAGACCCTGGTGGACACGGGTTCACGTAATGGGGCCTACTCCATTCGTGAAGCCCTGGGAGATATGAGCTCACTGGCATTAAAACAGCTCCCCCGTATGTACAATCAGGTCAAAGTAAAAGTCACCTGTGCCCTGGGTTCCAACTCATCCTTGGGCATTGCAGTGACCTGCCATTCCCAGACTATAGGACCAGACTCCTGCTATTTGCTGACAGCGTATCAAGTAGAGGGTGTGCGACTCCGTCGCTATGTCCTGGGACTCAAGGAGGCCTCGTTAAGGGAGAGTCCTGAGCAAATACACCACTGGGTCCAGAATGTTCTGTCAGAGTTTGTCATGTCGGAAATCCGCACAGTCTACGTGACAGAGCCACGCTTGTCTTCGGTAGCCTTTTGCGGTCGCACCGGAATTGGCCTTCGTTGCGCAGGTTGCTCTCTAACAGCCACGGTTCAGGCCGTTCTCGGTCGCCGCAGCCTGCAAGCACGAGGGCTCCATGAACTAGGAGAGCTTCTGGCTACATGTCGCGACATTGCTGCAACGACCAGCTTCAGTCAAGAAGGGAAAGCTGCAGAAGAGCCTGCCGCTCTGCCCTGCTGGGATGCAGTTGCAGAGGCCTTGCTCAAGGTACACGAGAACTTTGAGGCCACCTGTGAAGCGTATGGCCGTTCGAAGAGCACTGTGCCACTCTTGCAAGGCCTGAACAAGCACCTGCTTGGCACGCTTGCATGTTTGCTTGCGCCGCTAAGACAGGCAGCACAGGAACTGAGTGTGGAACGCTGCCCCACACTCCAACACGTCCTTCCCGTCTACCTCCGTCTCGAAAAACTTTTCACCTCCAAAGCCGGTGAAGCGGGTGCTGGCAGTAAGCTTTGCCACTACTTCCTGGAAGCCCTGAAGGAGAACTTCAAAGTGGAACGCGTCCATCAAGTCGCAATGATCCTGGATCCACAGCTTAAGCTGCGGCCAGTCCCTGCGTACCAGCATGAGGATATTATCTCAAGGGTGTGTGACATGGCTGCTAATATGAGGGAATCAAGAAGCAGTGGTTCTGGGGGTATGTCTGTGGACGAGCGGGATAGCGAAGGACCGTCAGCACCAAAGCGTGGCCGCCTGGACTGTGGATTGGAGAGGCCATCGTGCGATGCTGAAGAGCCACAGGTACGAAAAGAGTTGTTCCAGTACCTCGGCGAACCACTCTTCAATGGCACAGGTGACCTGTTGCAGTACTGGAGTTCGGTCATGGACAGATACCCCAGGCTGTCGCGGTTAGCGCTGTGGTTGCTGGCTGTACCGGCTGTAGCTGTGCATGGAGAGTGCGTGAACATCTGCGAGGAGACCTTAGCCATGAAAAGAAAGCAGCAGGTCACTGCGGAGGAGATGAACAAGCTGGTCTTCCTCAAGAGCAATTTTGCTTGAGATGGCTCAGGACTTTCAGCTAATGGCACCATAGACTGTTTGAAATGGAGACTTTTTGAACCAGATGTGCCGGTCACTTCTCTTTACTTCCAAAAATCCTGTTTTACCGTAAGTGTCCATCAATGAGGCACATGATAGAAATTTACCAAGGAAAAAGGTACATTGACAACTAATTCACAAACACCCCTTCAGACCATACAGTAGCTTGACATTGGCAGTGGCAACAGAAGCAACTCGATGAAAATACAGTCTGCGTGAGGACACGGATGTGAACTTGTGTTTTCGATGTTTCGGTTAAACTATCGCTTAAAATTGTGATGTGTTTTTATCAGTATGTGGTTCATCCATCTCTCTTTTCTTTCTGTGGAATCCATCTGAAATTTAGTCAATGGATTATTGAAATCATACACAACATACTTTCCATCGAGAGAAGGAAAAAACGGGGTACTTAGAACAAGCCATTTCTTTGCAATTACGCCTTTATGAAAACCACAAACACTCTTTGCTGTGACATCCGAACGATACCTCTCTTTAGCAGTTTATCAGAGGGCAGATCAAGCTTGTAGAGGTGTAAGTCTTGTCTTAGGCAGGCCCTGATTCAGTAATCTCAGTTAACCGGTTTGAGTGTGTTAAGCTCTTGTTCAGCCTCAGGAGTTTAAGGCCAGCAGAACTTAAAATTTATACTTGGGTCACATAGATAAATGATTTTGCAATTATTTATTTTAATTCTTTTTTGTCAGTTCTCACAATAACGTTGCAATAAATGTTCCGTAGCAGAAGTTATACTATCAAGCTGACGTTGATGCCTTGCACCTTTGTAGCAGCCTTTTTTTCCATTACAGCACACTGGGATAATTTCCTTCTACAATACAATCTGCAATACCTGAAACACTTAAACCCCAAGATTGGATCCCCAATAATATTGGGTTATGGAAGTATATAGGAATGATCTGATGTTCCAGTCCAGTGGATCTGATTTATTTATTTTTTTATTTTTTTTAATTCAGATCTTGTTTCTGAAAAAGTGGGAATAGGGCTATGAAATACAGAAACTGTCTGTCTCTCACTGTCTCGGTACAAACCTCCTTGAACAGAGGCAGCTAACTGCATTATTGTTTGAATGCATTTTAAGAGGACAAAGCTAAACAAATATTTCATTATTTATGCACTGGATTTCTCTTATCATTATTTTCCTCATTTATCTACAGCAGGTAATTCGATTAGTGATAACATTAACTAGAATAAAATCATTGCCTAGATTAGGAATAAAGTATCTTTTAAAAGTAGTTTGTCATTGTGAATAATTGCCATTTCCGGACAGATTTGTAGTTTTATCTTATAATACTCATGCTTCCTCATAATGGTTTCGCCCTCATGAATTTCCACTGCCTTTGAACAACTGTTCATTTCAAAATTGTTCTAGTAAACCGACAGAAGTAACAATTTTCACTTCCATAATAAAATAAATGATCTTCAAGAGTATTTTGCAGTAGTTTTTCCAAGGAAAGATGTGATTTAGTATTATATAGTTTGTCTTGTAATGCCTTGAACATCTTTGTGTGATTATACAGATATGCATGCAGACAATATAAGAGTTTTTTTTTTCTTTAATAAAGTGGAAGAGCTCTATAGTGCATATGTCAATGTTCACACAACAGCAGAAATACTGTTGTCAGTCCTATTTTCAGTGCTAAATAAGGTTTTGTTCATGTGCAGATCTCCTTATAAAAGAATGACAACCGCATTCTGTAACAATAGTGATTGACTTAGATTTTCTGGAGTCAAAGCCAAATTTTGAGGGTTCGTTTATATATGCTGTAGGACTAAAATGGCAGTGAAGTAGTCTATTACATCATTGAAATGGGTAAGCATGAGGTGTGCGCTTTGGGCTGTCGACCTCTCTCAGGTTATCTAAAATGGTGGTATCGTGTAGTGAAAGAGAGAGTGAGACAAAACTCTTAAGTATTTAGGAAATAGGCTTACAAGGGGGGAAAAAAAGTACCGAAGAGTTTTTGAACACATATATGAACGGTTCCTAATAAATTTGAAATCCTTAAAGTCCTTTATAGTCTATTGACTATCATCATCTGTTCCTATGGTTACAGGCATTATTTGCCCTACGTAGAAGGGAACTGACTTTGGTTACCTGTATAGACATTGTAGGTACTCTGCAGTTGTAGGTGCAAGACGATTTGAGAATCACACCTGCTGGTAAATACGGTTGTTAATCCCAAACACTGACACGCACACCACAGAATTTGTTTATTGCTATGATAAAACTATAGCGAACAATTGTTTCGGCATTTCACGGCTGTGAACAAGTTTAACCTATTTGGTGTCCATTATGTTTGACCAAAGATTAGCGACCAAAGACGCATTGTGTCATGCATATTTACCTAAACCACTGTTGACAGAGGCGCTTGGTGTATTATTCTTGTGAAGCTGCTGCTTTTAAACAACACACTCTTTGCAGTGTTGCCATTTCTGCTGATCCTTCTTTGTGCTTTTGGGCTTCCCAGTAAGGTCACTAAAAATATGAGCAACAAACAGTATTTGTTTTTGTTTAATTTTTTAATGTGAGAGATTTAAGTGAGTCATCAACAAGAAGTTTAGTTCACTTCTTTTTGGCCTTATTTTTTGCATTTAATGTTAATGTTGTTGTCACTACCTGAACATTTTTACAAGTTAAGTCGGTTGTAGAGTGGATTAATGCCTTGTTCCAGACGAAGTCAAAGGCGGGAAACTGAAATTTCCCGCTTCCAACCTCAATGCCTTCAGGTCAACCACACTGTCATATGTCATGTATACCACAAGATGGCGCCATGACTCAACGTGAGCAATTCGTGTTCCCACATCAATTATGAACAAAAACAAAAGCAAAGAACACTTAATGCTCATGTTGGCTTGTTAAAAGCAAGCCAGAATAAAAAAAATAAAAACTTTGTATGTTATACATTTGTGTAATATACATCTTTGAATACCACATTGTAAACTTGATGTTGCCCTGCATGTGCTCTTAAGTCACCGCCATCTTTCAACTAATTTTTTTTTTTTAAAGATCGTGGTTGAATACTAATGTCCAACTTTAAATGCTGTTCCAGTCATTTTATTCCCAAGTAGGAGGTAGGGAAGAGTTCAGATCTATCTGAACACAAATAAGCACTCAGTAGAGGAGTAACAACCGTATTTAGCTCCAGCGTGTACGTGGCCATTGTGTGAACGCAGCCATTAGCCTGAATTGCTTAAGAGCTTAGCTCATACAAAATCGATCTGCTAAAAAGAAAAGGAGCAGGGATGCATGTTGTTTGGACTTGGTATCTCACATACCCCAAAATACAGATAATGATACTGGCTAGCATGTGCAGAAATGTTCATATGTAAAAAAAAAAAAAAAAAAAGTTTCGTTTTCTTTTTATGCCGACCTTTGCAACCTTGTTGTAGTTTAATGAGGTTTAACCTTGATTTGTGAAAGTTGATTAGCTACTTTCATTCTAGATTAGTTTTATGTTCTATAATAGTTTGTCAGGCATATTTAAAAGGCCTCCCAAAAAACATGCTGGTGAAAAAAAGTTAAATTTAAAAAAAAAAAAAAAAAAAAGGTTTTTGATAAACCTGGCCCAGAAACAGCTGCTGTTGAATATTGTCGTCTTTCTGTGTAACCACAAGAGGGCAGAAGTGTCTCAGAAATCTGTCTTTGCAAAGAGTCTCCAAACATCTTACCTCTGTTTTCTAATCAAGCATTTCAGCTATTTTGATAAACTCGGTCTATGAATATGTCAGACTTCATGAAGGTTTTCTTTTTTTGTCTTTTCCCTGGGCGAATGTGTACATTTTTGGGGAAACATGAAAGCTGGTCAAATGCAAAATGCTCTTCAGCAGCAGGCAAGTTTTTGACAAATACTAATCTCTGAAAGTATAAAACACTGTTTTAATCACAACTATTTATGGATGTACAACAATTAGTAATATCGTTCATTCTGTTTTGTTGAGAGGGCCCCCCCCCCATCCCCCATTATAGTCCAGCCTACATTTGTCTTTGACAGGCATTTTTCTGATTTTGTGTATTAAGTTGTTTCAGCTGTAGGTCTAATTTATACTTTTTTAACAACACTATTTTTCTAAACATGACTGATAGAGTTTTTTCTCTCCGTATCGACTGTCAGTAGTACACTGCGCTGTTCTAAGAATCTATCTACTCCTGTAGTATGTGCTGTGTGAATAAAATATCCTCAAACAAGCAAAAAAAAGTTTATAGATTTATTTTGGATAGTCACTCTTTGTATTGCATTGCTCATGTTACAGTAACTGAACTTAATGGGGAGTTGTTTTTTAAAAAAAAGAGAGAGAGAGCGAGAAAGAGAATTGTAGTGTGGTGCGAGTCGTGCATTTACGCTAAACATTCCGACAACAAGTGCACTTTTAAAGGGGTCATGAAATGAAAACACAAAAAGTCTTTATTTACGCATGTAAGAATTTATTCTACCATACTGCTAGTTTCATACCTCGATGCAAACTCCTGAGTTTAAAATGAGTTTTTGTTTCAAGAATGCCCCTGTTGTGAGGTCACAACATTTTCCTCCATGTGCCCCTTAACATGCATATTCAAATTAAGGAGGTGTGCGTTTAACAACTCATGTCTGTCCAACACTTAACGCTATTAAGACACCAAGTGTATCATCGTTAGCTTATGCTAATCAAATGAGTACATACACTGATTTCCAGGCAGCAATTGTGTTCTGGTTCAGTAAGTATACTTTTAGGAAAATGTACAGATAATAGATTTTTGCAAGCAAAATTACCACGCTGAATCAGACTGTTGAAATCATTGTGGTTGCATTGATTCATTTTCCTCAGCTTCGGGATCTGACTCAGGTTCAAACATACTGTATATGTGTCTATAACAGTGCCGGCCATCTTGAGCTGGGAGCAATTACATTCACTGATCACAGCGGCAGTATTGACCTTCAAACTGTGTTTGACAGTGAAAATGAGGTTTTATTTTATATTTATTTTAGTTATATTGGTTTAGTTATATTTATTTTTTTTATTATTTTTTTTATTTATTATTATTATTTTTTTTTAATATAAACTTTGTTTACCTTCAGAAACATATAATTTGAATGCAGTAAATTTCCTGAAAATTTCCATGGGAAGCTAATCTAGAGAATTTTGGAAATATTGGAACTGTAATAATACTGGAATGGTAAAAATATTTTACAATTGATGCTGGACAGATGAATAAAAATGAGCTAGATGAATACAGTCATGGCCAAAAGTTTTGGCAGTGACACAATTTTTGTGTTTTGCAAAGTTTGCTGCTTCAGTATTTGAAGATTATGTTTTCCATGTTTCTATGGTATACTGAAAAACAATGATAAGCATATCATAAGATTTTAAGGCTTTTATTAGCAAACAAAATATAATGAGTCAATATTTACAGTGTTGACCCTTGTTCTTCGTAACCTCTGCAGTTCGCTCTTGCATGCTGGATGTTAGCTTCTGGGCCAAATCCTGACTGATGGCGATCCATTCTTGCCTTATTAGTTCTTGGAGTTGATCACAATTTGTGGGCTTCTGCTTGTCCACTCGCCTTTTGAGGACTGACCGCAGGTTCTCTATGGGATTGAGATCCGGGGAGTTGCCTGGCCATGGATTTTTCTTGGAGAGAAGTGGCTTCTTTGCTGCCCTTCTTGACACCAGGCCGTTGTCCAGAAGTCTTCGTCTCACTGTGCTTGCAGATGCTCTCACACCAACCTGCTGCCATTCCTGAGCAAGCTCTGCACTGGTGGTGACACGATTCCGTAGCTGACTGCTCAGGAGGAGACGGTCCTGGCGCTTGCTGGACACTCTGGGACATCCTGAAGACTTCTTCACTGCAGTCGAACCTCTCTCCTTGAAGCTCTTGATGATCCGGTAAATGGTTCTTTCAGGTGCAATATTCTTTGTGGCAATTTCCTTGCATGTGAGACCATTTAGATGCAAAGCAAATGAAGCTTTTAGCAATTATTTAAAATGAATCTGATCACTCTACATAATAATGTAGATGTAGATTGTCTAGATTCTGATCTAGATTGTGAGTGAATGAACACCACAACAGCTTAAGCTGCAAACTTTGCAAAACACAAAATGTATGTCACTGCCAAAACTTTTGGCCATGACTGTAGATAATGGGTGTAGAATATGTGTGAGATTTTTAATAACACGTACATTTGTCCCCAACACTTTTTTCAGGCAAGTGTGTTCACAAAGAGATTTTTAAGGGCCGGTGTGAATAAATATAGATGTAAATTCAAAGAGACAGGATCATCTGTGCATGACCTGATGTTTTATTCGTATATCCAGAATGAGGCGATGTGAACATCATGTTTGTCATGAAATCTCTCTGCTTGTATGATAAAATTTATTTTTAGAAATTATTAATTTTATATTTTAGAACACTGAAGGGCAAATAGTCGAAACACTAATATTTTTTTTTCCATATA